TGTCGTATTAGACACATCGATCCTTCCCAAGCGACCGTGTATTTCGGTCATAAAAACATTCTTGGACAATGAGCTGCAGCTCGATATGTCGCTTGTGACAAGTATCCAGCCTCACAACGTAAAGAACGTTGTGTACCTGGGTATGCGAGACTAGGACGCGGCCGATAACATTGCTTCAGCCCATCATTTGAAGCATTGTATTGAAAGTGAGGGGAAACATTTTCCATTACCCATCTACGTCGAGAGCAGTGCTGTTGACGTACGGATTCACGATCTCCCGTCGGATATGGATAATGTGGTTATCGTTGACCATATGCGCCAGTATGGTGAGATAATTGCAATCAGAAGTGAAGTTTGGAAAAGCTACTTTCCAGGCTTCATTAATGGAGTTCGGGTCGTAAGGATGAAGCTTAATCATCCGATTCCCTCTTACATTACTGTGGACGACGAAGTGACTTTGGTGTCATACAAAAACCAAGTCAAAACTTGCCGTAACTGTGACCGAAAATCTCACCCGAAACAACGTTGCTACGAAGTAGCAACAGCGGTAGCAGCAGCAAAAAAACAGAATTCTCAATCGGAAATGGGGAAAAATAACACCAGCAGCGATAAAAATCACAGCAACAGTAACATCAACAACAAAACGAAGACCAACGGCAATAGCAAGCTTGCGGACGCAGCTAAAGATAAGCAGTGGCCTTTTCTTCCTAAACCGGCAACTGATGCAGATCTACACATAAACAATAGAGCAGTGATGAACAAGCGACAAAGGTCCGTCGAATCGGAAACAACAATCAACCATACGAAAAAAGTTAACACGAACGAACCAACTTCCAGTGATAGTGATTGCACCCTGACTACCGTGAGTTACATTTGTCCCTACACGCAGCGACCATACTAGATCCCGTCGTTTGAGTGGATTGAAGATGAACTGCAGAAACGTGCTTTGATCGAGGATTACAAGCAGAAGGTGGATGCTAGGTACAAGGCTACCCAGCAAAATGAACGAGAGGCTAGGCAGCAAAATGAACGAGACAAAAATATTTGAATTGTTTTTGTTGAGTCTTTCTAGACATATGAGCCTTACAAATAAACAGATAGAAAAAAAAAACGAATCGTAGAGTTTGCGGGCCCGTGGTTTCACAGGAAACACAAACACAAAACTGAGCACTTTTTTGATGCTATGTCATTCAGAAATGAGCAAACAAAAGGACGCAGCCAAAACATGTTGAAATATTTCATTATATTCAAAGTGACCGTCAAAATAAGGTGTGCTTATACTTTCTGGAACAGTCTATAGTAGGAAAATATCTTGTGATTTGCTACCAATGAGCTGGATTACCTAGGTGAAGTAATCGGTTAAGTTGTGTGAGTGAAACTCCTGTACGATACAAGCACTTACTGTCGTCACTAATTGCGTTTACGTTGATTTTTTGGTTTAGTAATACAACAACATTTCACGATCTGCTTCACCTCTCTCTGTACTCATTGAAATTAACTCACTTGGAATGAAATTCATATGCTTATATTTCATTCAGTGCAAGAACGAAACAGTTTTTTTTTAAATAATTTTAAATTTAGTATGACAACCAGGCTTCCAGTGCGCGCGCTACCGTATGCGAGACGCAATACGAATAGTCTCATAGTCATAGCAGTCTCATGCGCAAGAGATTTGTAGCACTCTGTTTCTCTCTCTTCAGTTTTGTCGCATCTCACATTCTCATAATGTCAGTGTGTCGCACTGTTTTGTAAGCACATCACATTTCCGGATGTATGCGTTTCATGAGAACGAGTATCATGCGACGTCGCGTGAGCCGAAGCTCATGCGCTTTTCGCAATGAGACGTCGCTAAGCGACGTTTCAATGCGACATCAAAATAACAAACACAACTGGAAGACCAACTCGTGTTCTTGATGTGGGAAAAGTGTTGTTTTGTTTTGAAAACGATGGAAAGCGACCTAGCTACTACACTCTTATCGAACATGGAGAATAGGTGTCGGATGGTTATGACCAACAAAGTTTTCCTAGCGGCAATTTTCGTTGATTAAAGAATTAACTTGAAAAATAGCCCATTCATAACGAACGAAGGAAGAGATGTGACTTTGGTGAAATGTACAATCAAGTTGTGGTTTATTTGCTCGTTAATACATATGCTTTTTTTTTTATTTCACCGAGGGTCCACGGTACTAACACTAGGACTATTTAGAAATCTGTCGTCACAAATTGATTGTTTCAATTCAGCATCATGGTGGCTGATATGAACTATCCTGTGAGCACTAACACATCTGAAGAATTCAGTTGCTGTCGTAGTAAGTTTGTTGATTGACAGGTATTCAATACAATTCCTGAAGCAAGAAGCTTAGCAACAATCCGTAATACAGATATGACACAACTTTTTCCTAAATATATTACATTAACCTTAATCCAGCATTTCGTACCAACGTACACTGAGGTGCTAAGTTGATCGGACAAAGGTCGTTTTCATACAAATTAGCCAAGTTTAACATGTTGTAAATGTGTTCTGTTATGATCAATTGAGCTGAAATTTTGACGCAAAACTATTTTGAGCTTCACGTATAAGAAATACCAAATTTTTTGAAGCACCTGCTGGAAGGTGGCAATAAAATTAAAATTTGTGCATAGCTGATCGGACAAAGGACAATGGAAAAGCAAGTTTTGAGTCAAGATTTCAACTCAATTGATCATAACAGAACAAATTTACAACATGTTAAACTTGGTTAATTTTTAAGTGTAGACTTGTGTGTATGTAATAAGAAGTCACCACCAACGTTTTTGCAGCAAAGTACACTTCTGCGTTGAAAATAATCCCTTAAAATAGTGTTCACTCAAGCAAGACAAAATACAAATATTAATCTTCAGAGTTCTATCATTACTAGCGTCTTGATATGATCGATCAAGTCAGACCGAACTGTGATTTTTTTTTTGATTTCAAGAAAAACGAATTTAAAGTTGGCTGTTCAATATTGTGTCTTATGTAATGGGACAAATCATTTGACGGTTTTCTCTTGCTACTCTAATTTTTCAAATCTGGCTGAAAAAGTGAAATATAGCTGAGAGAATTCTTGATCTTATGATATCATTAACTCATTTTTTGTTTTCATTTTGCTACTTAGTCGCTTCTGACTTAACGCCGACTATATGATTTTGTATAGTAAAATGTAGTGCTATTTTACATTCAAAATCGTCCATTTATATTTTTACTGGTCTGAGTAAAAGTATTCTGAGGGATTCTGAGTCTAATTTGGTGCAAATGCGCAATAACTTGTTTATTTTTCCACCAAATGGGCTGAAAGCTTCAGAGGCTTCCAAAAAAATGTATTTTAGAAGATTTCCTCATAAGAACTTGTTGAAGGACACATAGTTCCACAGAAATTCCGGTATTATTTGGGGTGCTAACATGCTAACGGTATCCCAACCAGGGATGGGAAATCATTTTCATTCATTTCGTGCATTCATTTACATTCATTTGCCAGCTTTTGAAGGTTTTGATATTAGCTACATCTTTTGTAGATGACTCAAATCGGTATCTCTTATGCATGATGAATCAGAGCGATAAGAACCCACCATTGTTTTTCAGTGAATGTAAATTGCATTCACTGAAAAACAATAACATGTTCTGCCAGCTCTAGTTCATCATGCATAAGAGATTCAGATTTTAATTATTTTAAAAAGTTGTAGTTAATATCAAAAGCCACAAAAGCTTCATACATCATTTTACGGTATTCTGCTGATGGAAAAAGTTACAGACAATGAATGTAAATGAATGCACGAAATGAATGTAAATGATTTTCCATCCCTGATCCCAACTACCGTAAGGTTGCCATCCACCGCTCACGTAGTCTTCCTTTACCTTCCTTTAGCATCCTTTCGAAAAGCAATTGCGTCTTCCTAGGATCATGAGTGGTGATCTTACGGTGATTCCAGTATAACTCTGGAACCATGTGTTGAGTCTGCTTGAATCTATACTAGAAGATATTTCTGGAACCATTTAAAAACTTCACCTCATTTGAAAAGGGCACACAAGTCTTCTGTGAACAAACCCTTCCAGTCCCTTCTCTCGTCACCCGACAACATCACATATGATGGGACCGCGAGAGTCAAGGCATGCGAAACAGCGCACGGCGATGGCGCCCTGAGAGAGCGCATAGAGATGTTGCAATGAAACAGTCGCATGTGATTGAATACATGCGTCGCATTGAGAGAGCAATGCGATGAGACATAAAAAAATTGAAACGCTTGAATTTGTTGAGAGCGTGTAGCTTGTCGCGCGCATCGTTCTGGTCTCTCTTTTGTACAATTAATGTAGCACACCATGGATTTGAGAGTCATGCGACGCTCTGTCTCACAGCTCGCTGTCGCATTTGTGTACGCGTGAGATTTCCGGAAGCCTGATGACAACTCATACAATTTTCTACAAACCATCTTTTGACAAAAAATGGGAGTTATCAATTTTTAATAATATTTTTTTGTAGAATCATTTTAAAAACAATTTAAGCCCTTTTCAAATGGTGGTTTTGATTTGTATTTAAATAAAAATAATTATGTAAAGTTTCTTAAGCAAAATATATCTTTATTCCCACAAAGTTTCATTGAAATCTGAGAGGGTGCTGCCAACCCCATAGTCGAGTTGGCGTGAAATTCGTCCTTAAGGTCCCTAGGGTCCACCTGGACTTATTTTGAAGGTCGAAATACCCTTAGCTATCGTACAAAACTACTAGCGGTCCATTAATATAAAACTTGACCCTTTTCTAATGCCTGGAGATGCCTATGAGCCTAAACTGAGTTCGGTTCATCCCGTGCCAAGATGCAATGAATTTCAAGAATTCAAGCCGACCGTCACAATCAGCTGATAGCGCTGATCGCCGTTTGTAAACACCGGTTGCAATTCGCGGAAGCTGTGCATTGTGTCTACGTTTTGCATACAGCCCTTTATTCTCCACCAACTTCAACTAACTTATCAGTTTCCTAACGACTACACCATGGAGCGCATCCCCCGCCGGTTCATTCTGTTCCAAGGCGCAGTCATCGGTATCTTTGCGATGGTCAACGCGATATCGACAATACATTCGTTTATAATTGACCACCCGCACCCTGAACTTTGGGATTACTGTAAGTGTGAAGGTTTTAAAATTTTCTATCTAATATGAAGTCTTACCATACAGATAGCGATATCCATGGCATGACGGAAGTGATTATCCCTAGGGAGCTGTGCTGGGCCGTGGCTGCCGTGGCACTGTTGTACGGTATCCACCGGCAGGACATTCGTTTCTTCTACCCAATCATTGTCGTTGCCATCGGGGGGCTGGTACTGGAACTGGTGCGGGAGATAGTGCTGTTCTGGGTCCATTCGTATTCGTACAAGTTTTTTTACTTTACACTGTTATGCAATCCGGCTTTGATCATTTCGTTGATTTGTAAGTTGTAAGCGAGCATTCGAGGATTGAAAGATAATTTAATCCCGAACTGTTGATTGTAGGTAGAAAGATCCACGGAACGATGACGCTGATGGCACTGAAGCGCCTCTTCGAATCGGAACAGACTGCTGATAACAATTTCGTGCGGTTTAACGCGGATAGTGATGCGTGTGAAGCCGGCTAAGGAGACAGGAATCGCTGACACAAAACACAGATGAATTGAATTTGAAGGGTTCACATTGATTATGGTTCATACATTGTTATCAGTTCTCAGTTTTACATTGATTTTCAATATTATATTATCTCGCTGCGAGATGAAACGAGAGTGACTGGATTATTTTTATTTCCTTAGTGGAAGTCTTACTTCCGTAAGACTACTGACAACATTTTGTCAGGCCCTCCACGGATGATATCCGTAATTTCAAATCTTTCTCATGCATCGTCATGATATAGTTTGGTGCAATAAGGCCACTGTAAAAATCTGGTCATTACTGTATGTACTTGCGTAGAGATTAGCTGATAGCGCTGATCGCGTATTGTGTATACATTTTGTATAAAGCTTGCATTCCTTCACAGCGATTTGCACATCAATATCAGTTTTCTGCCGACTGCAACATGGCACACATCACCCGCCGCCAGTTCTTTTTGTTCCAGGGCGTAGCCATCGGTGTCCTTACGATCATCAACACAATGACGACGATATACGTGCACATAGCTAATCCCGATTCCATCGATAACTGGCATTACTGTAAGTTCGAAGGTTGGATTTTTTTAAAATTTTTAAAATATCATGAATGATGTCTTACCAATCAGATAAGGATATCCACGGTCTGTGGGAAGTGATTATCCCTAGGGAGCTGTGCTGGGCCATAGCTGCTGGAGTATTGTTGTACGGCATTTATCGGCAGGACATTCGTTTCTCGTACCCAATCATTGTCGTTGCCTTTGGGGTGATGGCGGTGCAATTGGTACGCGAGATTATGTTGTTCTGGTCCAATTCTTTCGAGGAGTTTTGGTACTATACACAGTTCTTCAATCCGGTTATGATGATTTGGATGACCTGTAAGTTGGGTAACGAATTCGAGAATTAATTCATAGCTGAATCCCGTTTTGATTGCAGGTAGATCGATCCACGGGATGATGACGCTGATAGCACTGAAACACCTGTTTGAATCGGAGCAGAGTGCTGACAATAATTTCGTGCGATTCAACGTGGAGAGTGCTGAATGTGAAGTGGAGAGTGCTGAAGTATCTTTCAATTGAGCTATCTAAGATTATATTTTACAGTAAATATCAAAACTTTTCGAAAAGAATACAAAAGTAAGAGGTTGTATCTAAGACACAACCGTACATTTGACGTAGGATTACGTGCTCGGTATCAATATTCGGTGACTGTGGTAGGGAAACCGCTTTTTGCAGACAATCGGTGGTAAGTGACCTATTGAAAATTGATACAGTGTTCATTTAGCAGAAAAATAGAAAAATTTCCAATCGATTGGCTTGTTTAGAATTAAAATCCATCCACTATTGACAGATTTAGAAGTAGTCAAAACCTGACGTTTTTTCGTAACGCAGTCTATTTTTGGTTTTTTGAAATTACACCCCCAATATATCAAAAAAGTGTTATCTTACTAGGGCTTCCAACATTCAAACTTCGGAAACTTGCTTTTGAGGAGATTCAAATTTTGAATACGGTTTTTCAAGCTGCATACGATAGCAATCCCTGTTTAATCTCATATTACTCGTTAATTAAACCTACGTTATATTTGAATTCGTATCGTTTAATCTTATGAAATTATTAAATAAATTAATAAAACTGTCATGTAATATGAATTACATTTTTCACAGTAAAAAAATTGTGATTAAAGTTTCAGACACTTTATTTTTTAAGAATTTAGGGAGCGAAGTAATAACTTCGAAATGAGAAAAATGACTCATGATTTGATGAACATAGCGTAGTTTATGGGCTCATGGAATAATACTCCAAGCAATTTCAATGGTAATATACTGTTTGATGATTGTTCTGCAGGTTATTACACTATTCAATATCCTATCAACCTAATATACTTTTCTTCAGCATGAAATCCCCCAACTATTGATTTGGTCTTAATTGATTGATGTCAACTTTGTAGCCAATTGGTTACCCATGCTGATTTCGGTTCTGATCACCTTCCAGTAAGTTTTGAAATATCCCAAGAAATTATTTCTGATCCCAACAGTACTACTTTCATTTACCATAGAGCTGATTGGGAGCATTATCGAACAATCATGGAATATAACTTTGAGCCAAATATTTCTTTGCAAACCAAAAATGAAATTAATTATAATAGCGGCCCTGGTGGTGTAGTGGTAAGCGTGATTACCTCTCACCTCAATTTTTGCAGATGAGCAGTTTGGATTTCGCCATAGGCATTCAGCTACTCAACAACTCTTAAGATTTACCAGTTTATTTCGTTCAACAAATTTGGCTGCCCAACTGGAGTTGCTCTTCTAGACTTAGAAAAAGCATTCGGCAGTGTTTGACATGAAGGTTTGATTGCCAAATTGAAAAAGTTTAATTTTCCACTTTATATTATGAAATTCGTTCAAAAATATTTAACTGACAGAACTCAGCAGGTAAATTATCAAAATTCCAAATCTAATCGACTACCTGTTAGAGCAGGAGTTCCTTAGGGTAGCATTCTTGGGCCTATATTGCCTTTGTCCGCCGAGGAAACTGGCATTTCTGCTAAAGGAAGATGTGTCATTTGCAGCAGCAGAGTTCAGATATTTTCTCTTCTTATTTACAAAAATGGAATATTACTCCAAACGTTTGCAAAACTCAACTTATAATATTCCCACACAAGCCTAGAGCTTCCTGTTTGAAACCTAGTATTAGTCACATAGTCACTATGAACGGTGTTCCAATTTCCTTGTCAAACCAAGTGAAATATTTTGGGCTAGTACTTGACCAAAATTAACTTCTAAAGATCACATTGAGGGAATCGAAGCCAAATGTAACAAATAAGGAGAAATGGATGTGATGCCGGCCTAAATGCCTCTAATTTTGACCCATTCATAAATTCAGCAATTGACTAACTTTTCAATAGCGACCATAAATATCAATTAGTATCGTCTCAAAAAAAAAAAAATTGATAAATAGTAGATTTATCCCAATCTTAGATACATAGGCCAACATTAGAGCCATTTCCACTATATGCAATATTTGTATCCTCTTATAAACATGAAATCTGAACTTTTTTATGGCATGTTGCTCCCGAGACATCCTGAACATAGCACAAAGGATGTGGCATTTTTCCGACGCCATGAAGCTGGCCTTACACGGAGATGAAAAACTACCCAAAATTAAGTACTTTTCCCTCAATTCCGGGGTTCTGCCCAATAACCCAAATTTGAGTAAATCGCATATAGTAGTTTCCATTTAACACCAGCAAAAAAATTACCTACTCTTAGTATATTCTACTCAACATTAAGTTTGATTCACGTAAATTTGAGAATGTGCAATTTACTCAAAAGTAACTTATTAGGCTGAACTATATCGTTGGGTCGCATCTCTCGTTCATTTTTTGATAACAATAAAGAGTGCAAGTGAGAGGCTGAACTCAATTTCAAGTTCATTGAACTCAAAGATTCGATAGTGTCCAACAACAAAACACCACAGCGTCATATTAAGCAGCATTGGAAACCGAGAAAAACAAAAAAACTACATACAGTCGGAGAAACTCCCAGCAAGCCCTGCATGCTGAAAATTATGAGCTTGGTTCTTGGGGAAGCAAGTGAGTCTAAAATGCAGCAAGTATGGTTGTCAAACAACATCGTGCAAAGACGATCCGAAGATGTTAGGGTGCAAATTTCGGGAGAAATCAAGCAATCCCCGCTATTTGCAATCCAACTCGACGAATCTACGGATGTCAGCTACTGTGCGCAACTGTTGGTATTTGTGAAGTACGTTTGCTCTGGCGATTTAAAGGAAGAGTTTCATTTATGTGGTGATTTGGAAACTACTACAAAAATGATGATATCATGGCAAAAATCAAAACATTTTTTGAATCTGGTGGCTTACAGTGGGAAACAGTCGGTGGAGATTGGACAGATGGCGCTCCAGCAATGCTTGGAAACAAATGAGGGTTCCAGAGGATTGCATGATTCATCGATATGCCCTTGCCAGCACGACTCTGCCGGAACAGTTGTTGAAAGTACTGGATTCAGTTATAAAAATGGTTAACTTTATTAAATCTGGAACTCTGAACATCCAAAGAACTCAGATCATGAGGTTCTTATTTTCTACACTTCCGTGCGCTGGTTGTAGAAAGGAAGGACGAAACCCAAATGTTCTTGAAAGCTCAAAGGAAAAACGATTTCCTTGCTAATTGTAATGAAGAAGGCTGACAGAAGCGTCTCGCTTACCTAGCTGATATGAACTTGAAGCTACAGGGCAAACAACCCAATCTTGTTCTTGCATTCGTGGCAAAATTATAAAACTGGCGCCGAAAGGTTAAAGGGTAAACACGAAATTATTGCAACACTTAGGGGCTGTCCATAAACTACGTAGACAGATTTTTCTCCATTTCCAACACCCCCCTCCCCCCCGTAGACAACCGTGGATATTTAGAAACTCCCTCCCCCCCCCCTACCTGTCTACGTGGTTTTTTCCAATACTCCTAAATACGCTGAAAAACGAAAAAATAGAATTCTTCTGAAAACAACAAATTCAAATTTTTATTTTTTTACGTAGATATAACTTAAATATAACAAGAAGAAAAACTGAAGAGGAAAGTAAGAAGTAAAGAAATATAAAAAAAAAACAAAAAAAACCTTAATAGTGACTCTCCACATAGTCTTCAACAAAAGGTTGCTCAAACCAAACGTTGAAATTGTCAATCACCGAGAACTCCATGTCTGAATTATTGAACAACATTTCATCAGGAGGCAACTCAACAGAAACGTTATCCAGCCAGACAACTTCCATGACATCTGCTGGGCCGTCAACCACACAAAGCACTTCCTCCGATCACTGCTTCAATATTTTAAGTGGCCGTGCCTTGAATTGACTGCCAGTCAGTTTGTGGAAGTTTTTAATGTGAGCTGCCACATTGCTCTTTGATGCAAAGTATAGGCCATATACAGTGCACACGCGTCCTGGAAAAAGGTAAACATTAAAAAAATAATCGATACCGATTGTCGTTTGGGCAAATCCAGACCAATGAGCTAAAATCGGAATTTCAGACTCGACCCTTTCAGATTACCGTGAAACTTTGCAAATTGTTCACTATGGGAAATCATTAACACTCCCGATAAAAAAATTGGGGGCACCCCCGAGACAACATACCATTTAACGTAAAATTTCCATTTTCTGTGTGAAACTTGAAAGATATTGAATGAAATTTACTTCGAAAGTATTTGGATCTATAAGTTTTGTAAAATAAAACTTCACCTAAAGTTACATTTTCCCAAATTCACATTGAACAATCATGACTGATTTTCTCAGAATTTGGTTGGCCAAATTTTGAAATTAAAGTGGTAGTAGCACCCTTATTGTATACCCATCAAGCACCGTTCATGATTTTTTTTTTTGAAAATATTATAAATAATTAAAATAGTTAATTATGACATCGCTCACAAGTTTGGAGTCACCCTAAAAAAACTGAAAACCTCGTACTTTGATAATTTATAACTCATTGTCGAAATTACGTTGTATAGAGAAATGATAAGAAAATTATCTCATCAATACATTCAAATAGCAATCTATCTATCTGAAAAATGTTTTCAACGGCATTTATCACAGTGGAGGAAAATCGAAATTAAAATCAGAAAAATCCTTCGCCAGGTTTATGAAAATTTTCTTATGATTTAATACATCCTTGAATACTTCTTATCTTTCAGTGGTAATACTAACGACCGGCCATAGGATCTCTAAGAAAACTATCATTTTCTTGTTTAATGATTTTCTTAAAATGGCCCATAATCGTCCATTAATTTTTCCGATAATTACTTTAAAACGGTAAAAGATACCAGTAATTTGCACCAGTAAAAGATAAGAAGTAATGGTCACCGCCCCAAGTTGAAACGGTATTTTGAAACTTGAAATTTAAGGCTCTCTGGAACAGTAATAAATTTAGATACACCAGATGTTTTTACACCAACAGTTTCATGAAAGAGTTTTCCAGAAGCATATTTGTTAAGCATACAATAACAGTGTGTATTATTTCATGTTACCCCATATAGTGGGGCTATTTGAAACACTTATTATACAGCAGTTTAACGATGAAAATTGTAAAAAAAAATCCTTAAAACACTATTGTTCATGTATAAAATAACCCTTTGCGGATATTATACATAAACTCCTGGCGGGATTAAAAGTATCTCCCAAAGTGTACGGTTTATTTTCCTTGTCGGGTATTTCCATCACTGCGACCATTTTTCTGATCTATTGTGATATATTCCCCATTTTTTTTCTTCAGCTACATCAAGATGCCGTATCACTATTA